GACTTTCGTATAATCCCTGTTCTATCACTTCCGGCAGTTGTTTAGCACTTCTTGTCATTCCTTTCTCTATGGGATCCGATTTCGCTGTCCTTACTATCCATCGAGACATACATCAAATCAATCAATCCATTCAACAGACAATTTAATTCAAAACAAACTTGAAATCAACTCATTGTTGGTCTTCTTCTTCTTCTTCTTCTTGTTTCTATTCTTTTGTATCATTTGTTGCTTTAAATCCAAGATTTGCTGCCATTTCCTCGAAATCGTTTGATCCCTTGTATTGCTATTAAAAACAATTGTTTATTAAATTTCACACAATTTAACCACAATTTGCGGTCAAGAAAAATACTTTTGGTTGACTTGTCTGTCGATGAGATCATCGGATGAGTTGTCCACACATTTAAACTTCTTGTGTCGCCGACTCTTCGCAATCCTCGTGTGTCTCATGTCTTCGCCGCTAAAACCACACAAAAATACAATTAAAATATTATTTCAATTAAAACTCGGTTTCAAAATAAATGCATTCAATGTTTAAAAACATGTGATTTTGTGTAACTATTTTATACATAAAATATGTCTTCAAATATACATTAATTTAAAACACAATTATTATTAAATCTAATTTAGTTTTGCTCTCAAACTACAGACAAATTGAATTTATAAACAATAATTAAACTTAATTTTTGTAAATATCATAAAATATGTCTTCAAATATACATTAATTTAAAACACAATTATTATTAAATCTAATTTAGTTTTGCTCTCAAACTACAGACAAATTGAATTTATAAACAATAATTAAACTTAATTTTTGTAAATATAATAAATAATTATTAATTTAATTAACAAAATTGAATGAATAAATGCATTTCAAATACAGCCATACTTTATGTGCAATAATTGGCAAAACATTTAAAGTGAGAAACATTTGAATTACGAAAACATTGAATATTTGGTAATGAAATGAAAGCAAAGGCCAAGTGATGGCACAAAACCACCGATACTTTGATAACCCGTACGAAGACTATCGGCCATCGGATGCCGTATTGGATCCAAACAGTGATGCACTCAATGCTCACTACAAAAGTCTTTTGCTTAAAGAGTATTCAAAACTATTGATATATTTTGAGGCAAATGTCGTNCCAAGTGATGGCACAAAACCACCGATACTTTGATAACCCGTACGAAGACTATCGGCCATCGGATGCCGTATTGGATCCAAACAGTGATGCACTCAATGCTCACTACAAAAGTCTTTTGCTTAAAGAGTATTCAAAACTATTGATATATTTTGAGGCAAATGTCGTCCAAAACATTGATTCCGACGATAACTATGTTTATACGGGAAGTACTGGTTATGCGTTACTATATCTTCATTTGTCACTTGTCTTCAATGACCACAAACTCTTAGACAAAGCGCTCGCATATATCGACCCATTGGTCGACAAAACATCGCCGAAGAGATTGACATTCATTTGCGGCGATTCTGGCCATTACTTCAAGAATTCATTTCTTGAAAGCCAATCAAAGCGAATGCAATGTTTCGTTGAATGCCTTGAAATCATTGATTCAGTTGTGTTCAGACGCTGGAAGTGATATTCCCGATGAACTCCTGTACGGAAGATCTGGTTTTCTCTATTCATTACTTTACGTCCGAAAGTTTGTCCCAATTTCGCGTCAAATCATTGAAGACAAAGACATCAGACGTGTCGTCGACTCTATCATTAAATCTGGTCAAAGAGGCGCTCAAAAGGATAATATGAGTACCATTTGTCCGCTAATGTATTACTGGCACGAAAAGGCATACATCGGCGCCGCTCACGGGTTGATGGGAATCATGGCTTTGCTTTTGGAGGCCAAGAGTTATCTGACGGACGAAGAGTTAAACAAATTGGTGAAACCAACCATCGATTACATCCTAACACTGCGACTCTTGTCAGGCAATTATCCCTCGAGTTTGTCTAATTTAAGCGATCGTTTGGTCCACTGGTGTCACGGAAGTGCCGGAGCCGTCCATTTGTTTGCGTTGGCGTATGAGGTGTTCAAAGAGGAGAGATATCTAACGGCAGCCAAAGATTGTTGTGAAGTCGTGTGGAAGAGAGGACTTCTCGTTAAAGGTTTGGAGTTTTAAATCAGTTTTGAATAGTCATTGACTTTGTTGTGAATTTAACGATAAGGGTATGGCTTATGTCACGGGACGGCCGGAAACGGTTACGCCTTCTTAAGGATGTATCAGTTGACCAAAGAAGAGAAGTATGTGTTGAGAGCCGTTCGGTTCGGTCAGTGGTGTTGTGATTACGGGTCTCNAAGAAGAGAAGTATGTGTTGAGAGCCGTTCGGTTCGGTCAGTGGTGTTGTGATTACGGGTCTCACGGCTGCCGTACAGCCGACCGACCGTTTTCTATGTTTGAAGGACTCGCAGGAACTCTATATTATTTGACAGATCTGTTGCGACCAAAGAATAGTCGATTCCCTGCCTATCAGTTGTCTTAAATGACTTCATTTCATATTCATTCATATTTTTGTTTGTTATTTATAATATGTTTAATGTTTTGCATTTATATATTTGTAATTATTTTCATTGTAATCAAAATAACTGACAATTGTGAGCAATACATTTAAATTGAAAATTTGTTATAATTTACTCTATATTACTGTTCAATGCCTTTATAATACTGTATCCAATAGTATCGTGAGTTCATTACTATCCCTTTACTTTTAAATCATAATTCAGTTGCCATTCATATTAAAACACTGCCGTTTGTATCGACACTAGTCTTATTACATTTTAATCCATCAATTAATAAAACACACACATAGAAAGTCACACAACATGTCTAATATTAGTCATCATTTGTAACTACTGTTAATATTACAAGTCATAGTAGAATTTTACCCCTAAATTGTTACAACGTATTGACTACATCTCAAAGTTAATTGTTTTTAAAACAAATACGATATTATATTTTGTAATAATTTTTACATGGTTATTATGGGCACTATATTATTGAACAGTATTTCTTTATTCTTTGCATTTAATGAGAAGAATTGAATTATTAAAACATAAATTATTGATTTAAAATCAAAACTACTTAATTAAAAATATTGTTAAACAAATTTCATACTTAAAAATATGATTTATTAATCAAAGCTTAATTGTTTAGTCAAATAAATAACATTATTGGATGATTAATGAGAATATTATGTTATAATATAAATTGTTTATACAGTCAATGGTTTTTTCGTTTAATACAATCATTGTATGCATTGTTTATAAATCGTATAAATAAAAAGTTAATAATTAAAA